TTGTGAGAAGGAACCCATAAGGCAGTTCAGGATTCCCGTCTTTGAGGTTCTCTACCCTCTGCATTGGCTTAATCATTTGCTTACATTTGTTGACCATTGATAATAGGCTATATAGACGCTATTTACGCTCCAATTGTGCCATACTTTATGGTTGTTTTAAAGGCTAAATGATAACAAAATACTCTAATCGGTGTTCTTTTGCTTTGCAGGGACTAATCCAAGTTAGAAAGAACTATGGAGTGTTTTGGAGTCAATAATGTGAAGAAAACGTCCAATCAAGAAGCACCCGAGCGGAAAGAAGCAAAAAAGTGGACTGGGGTTGAATCCACCGCGACCGCGGCAGGCCACAAACGCGAGGCAGAATGTTTGGCTCTCACCGCGGTCGTGCCGCGGCCGCGATGAACTGTGCGATTGCCCAGACTTTTCGGACCAAAGTCTAACTCGGGAAAAACTTGTTCCAAACCCTTATAAACTCAAGAAGCTCGCCCAAGAAAAAAAAAAGCTTGTTTTTAGACCTAAGGAGGCTAAGGAGACCGGAGATTAGACCTAAGGAGGCAAGAACACAATAGGAGCAAGGAGGGGAATTCTTCTACTAGTTTTTCCTTCCCCTTCCTATCTTTTATTGTTGGTTATGACTTTTAGCATTGTAGTTTTACATACTATTATGAATAGCTAATTCGTTTTCTAGAGTTTTGATAGAACCTTTTGTAGGATGAATTCTTGTTATGTTTTTATATAATTGAGCCGTTGGATTTCTCTACTTGTTCAACTACGTGTTTATTGTTGTTGATTGAATGGCCATCAATTGGCTGTGCCTATTTAGTGTGTACTGCTCGAGGGAGAGTACATATTTAGGTATTTGTTGAACAACGTCACTCCTAACGTATGTGAGAAATCAATACATTGGGTTTAAAGATAGGTTTAGAAATAACAAAAGCCTTGACGTGGTCATAGTGAGCGGTTAGATGAAGCCAACTAGCGGAGTTGGAGAGAATATGTCTAGTAAATTGTTATAGTTGCTCGAGAGAGAATTACGGCACCTAAAGTGCTCACGATCAGTAGAGAATACATCGGCGAAATTGTAGGGAACATAGCTGTAAGGATTCCGACAATTGGGGAAATCATAACTCTAGATCTCCTTAATTTAGTCTCCAACCCTTTGTCTCATTAGTTGATAATTTTATCGTTTTCTAGTATTTGCTAGTTAATTAGTTAGAAATATAAATCTCAATCTTTATAATTTAGGAAATTGTTCAAACTTGTCTTCTTAGTGATATTAAACAGATATAGCTAAGCCTTAGTTCTCTGTGGGATTCGACTCCGGACTTTTAGACCGGATTATATTTGCAGCGACCGCTTATCCTTTTTAGGACTAGAGTTGGGCGTGATCAAATTTTGGCGTCGTTGCTGGGGAACTAACGGTGTAGTTGTAGCTGTATATATTGCTAAAGTTCAAGTTTGAACTTTTAAATCAAGCGCTTGTTGGGAGGCAACCCAGCTTTACTGCTTTCTTTTATTTATTTATTTTTTTATTGTATTATTTTTGTAGTGTCGATTTTTGATTTCTAGGAGCATGGAAAGCAAAGCTATTGGAAGGATGCAACAGCGAAACAGATGGTTGGAACTAAGTGTGAGATACCTGCACGAAGGACCGGGCCTGGGAGAAGTCTGAGTACCCCATGAGATGCTAGTGCTTCAGCCTTTGACCTACCAGGGAGTTTCTTTTACCCTATTGTATGTATGGGTGTGCATTGGGGACAATGCACAATTTTAAGTGTGGGGTGAGGAGATTGTCTGGGTGACTTTCTATGCTATTTTAGTTGTGTTAGTTTAATTGAATATTTTTTTTTAAATAGAAAAGATTGGACTTTTTCCGACGATGGATCTATTAGACAATTTTCTTGAGGGATTTAAGTCTAAAGAAAAAATAAAATAAAAAGATTTTCTTTGTAGGTAGTGTAATAATTCCCCCTTGGTTTTTCTTTGTGCCGCGGTTCTTTTCCAAGGGTTTTGTTTGAACCGGGTGTAGTTAGTTTTCTTTTTTTGTTTTTGTTTTTTGGGAGTAGGAGTCATTGTGTTGTGTTTTTAATTGAAGCAATATCTCTTGACTTTGTTATGCCTTGAGAATAGTGAGTATTTTGGTTGTGACGCTTAGTCTCAGTTTTTGACTCTTGTATAAGTACCTTAAATTTTATGATCTTAAATTTGCTTAACTGCTTTGACTAGAGTGTCTTGATGAAACCAATCCTGAGTGAGTTATGTGCCATGTGTTGTAAGGATTGTTATATTCTGTGCATTGCATTTAATGCCTAGAACTTGCCATGTGTGTTTGCAAAGCGAAATAGTAGTTTTGTTCAGTCTTGGAAGTGATATAGGCGTTTCTTTGTTGAGACAGATATGTATATTTTACCCAACTAATTGTTATGTATCGTAGTTAACCCCTTTGAGCATGTAATCTTGTTTCTTTGGCAACCACATTACAAGCCTTACCCATTTATTTGAATTAATCATCTATTTGAACCTTTTAACATCTCATGAGCACTTGAATTATTATGAACCGTGTAAAAGTTAAAGTGTGGGGTGGTTGGTTTGGCTTTTGAGTGGAACTAATGAAATAAGGAGAAAGGTGCACTGTTTTGAAAAAAGTAAGAGCCACTTGAATTGAAAAAAAAAATAGTTGGATTGTTGTGAAAAAAAATTCCTTGATAAGTGGTGGCTCTTGATGTAAGTGTGCTTAAATAAGAATAGGGTAATATACATTGATGTGAAGGTGGAGTTTTGGTTTGACATAAGTATTGGGTTTGAATGTTAAAGTATATGTATTAAAGTGCTTAGGGAGGTGTAGTCACTCTTATATCTAAATGTATCCTACCCGTCCCGTAGCCTACATTACAACCAAATAAAGTCCTAATTGATCCTAGATTGAATGAGCTCGATTAGTGGAGTAGTACACTACGGGCAAGCTTATGGTGCATCTTTTGTGGCATAGGAATGTTATTTCTGAGAGTGAGTGAATTCTTTCTATCTTGAGTTCCTAAGTGTTCTTAAATTTTATTGTGTGGGACTACTCTCTTTTATTGTGTGAGGGCACTTGATTCATGAAGGAAAGGTAATGTCAATGACCTCTATGTTAGAGTAAGTGAGTGGGTTGTGAATAATGCATGGTACTTGTGAGTCAAATCTTGAGGTGAAGATGTTACGCTTTTGTGCTTAGTCTATTTTAAATACTCTTGGTGTGATGAGTTAGGAGAATTGTTTAAAAAAGGTCGGTGTTCTATAAAAAAGTGTAGTCTGATTGCTCGAGGACGAGCAATGTTTTAAGTGTGGGGTGTTTGATGATAGGCTATATAGACGCTATTTACACTCCAATTGTGCCATACTTTTATGGTTGTTTTAAAGGCTAAATGATAACAAAATACTCTAATCGGTGTTCTTTTGCTTTGCAGGGACTAATTCAAGTTAGAAAGAACTATGGAGTATTTTGGAGTCAATAATGTGAAGAAAACGTCCAATCAAAGAAGCACCCGAGCGGAAAGAAGAAAAAAAGTGGACTGGGGTTGAATCCACCACGACGCGGTGGACCGCGGTGGACCGTAGCAGCCACAGACGCGAGGCAGAATGTTTGGCTCTCACCGCGGTCCGCGCCGCAGCCGCGTGAACTGTGCAATTGCCCAGACTTTTGGGACCAAATGTAACTCGGGAAAACTTGTTCCAAACCCTTATAAACTCAAGAAGCTCGCCCAAGAAAAAAAAGCTTGTTTTTAGACCTATGAGGAGGCTGAGGAGACCGGAGATTAGACCTAAGGAGGCAAGAACACAATAGGAGCAAGGGCGGGGAATTTCTTCTAACGAGTTTTTCCTTCCCCTTCCTATCTTCTATCTTTGGTTATGACTTTTAGTATTGTAGTTTTACATACTATTACGAATAGCTAATTCGTTTTCTAGAGTTTTGATAGAACCTTTTGTAGGATGAATTCTTGTTACGTTTTTATATAATTGAGCCGTTGGATTTCTCTACTTGTTCAACTACGTGTTTATTGTTGTTGATTGAATGGCCATCAATTGACTATGCCTATTTAGTGTGTACTCCAGGAGAGAAAGTACATATTTACGTAGTTGTTGAACAACGTCACTCCTAACATATGTGGAAATCAATACATTGGGTTTAAAGGTAGGTTTAGAAATAAACAAAGGCCTTGACGTGGTCATAGTGAGCGGTTAGATGAAGCCAACTAGCGTAGTTCGAGAGAATATGTCTAGTAAATTGTTGTAGTTGCTCGAGAGAGAATTACAGCACCTAAAGTGCTCACGATCAGTAGAGAATACATTGGCGAAATTGTAGGGAACATAGCTGTAAGGATTCCGACAATTGGGGAAATCATAACTCTAGATCTCCTTAATTTAGTCTCCAACCCTTTGTCTCGTTAGTTGATAATTTTACCGTTTTCTAGTATTTGCTAGTTAATTAGTTAGAAATATAAATCTCAATCTTTATAATTTAGGAAATTGTTCAAACTTGTCCTCTTAGTGATATTAAACAGATATAGCTAAGCCTTAGTTCTCTGTGGGATTCGACTCCGGACTTTTAGACCGGATTATATTTGCAGCGACCGCTTATCCTTTTTAGGATTAGAGTTGGGCGTGATCAACCATCTCAAAGAGCAACTGATAAACTGGAAGGAGTGTCTTCTTATGCACCTGTTCCCCATGTTGTACTGCCTTGTCCTTAACAATGGCATTTCTGAAGTTTGGTGTGCAAGCACCCTGAACAGATGACACTCTTTCGGTAGGAACACCCAGAATTGACCCCAATAAGGCAGAGTCCATCACTATGTCCACCCCATTTACCAGCACACAGATTTAGTCACCATCTACTGTGAAGAGGCTGGTGTAGAAACTTCGCATCTCGTCCTCATACACTATAGGAGCCTCACTTATAAACAAATTGGTCCACTGTTGAACATCACAAATATTCACTAATTGTCTCATTCCAGCACTCTCTAGAATGTCGGAGGCAAATGTGCAGCCCCAAAGCATTTCTGATTCCCCAGCTTCCTTTTCTCAGACCTCAGAGTTTCACTCACTTTTCCTTTCTTGACGGAACCAGGTTCCTTATCATCATCATCCCTCTTTCTTTTTGCTGACTTCCCAACAGAATTTTCCTTCTCCACTGACTTTCTCTGTCTATGTTCACCAGATTTCTCCACTTCTTCCTCATCAGACTTGTCACCACGCTCCTTTACTGTCTTGTCACCAGAACTTTTTGCCAACTTTTTACTGCAACCAGCAACATCACTCTTAGAAGAACTCTCAAGCACCCTTAGAGGTGTGTTTTTCGAAAAGAGAGTGCTTCTTTCTTGAAGACTTACGGGACAGGGAACTAGGTTCCTCTTTGGTTTCCTCATCCACATTCACTACAGGAACATCCTCTGCTTGTACCACTTTTCCATCTTTGACCAACCTTCTCCTTCTTCTACTCCTTTTACTCTTCTTGAGAGCAAACTCTAGAGCCTCCTTTTGTTGTAACCGAGTAGTAGGTCGCTTAGGAGGTGGATCTGAACTAGCCCTGATGAAACTAGCATACACCAACTCATTTGCGCCTTCTTCACTTTCAGGATTTGTCTCAGGCACCACCATATTAAAAGGATCAGCATCAAAGTAGGGAGATGGAGCAGGATCAACACTGACCTGGTCAGATGACTCCTGACCTGGATTCTCCATGGAGGGATCAGGTTCATTATTTGGGGCCCCAGTAGCATCATCTTGTGCCGGCTGTTCAAATGGCATAATTGCCCCCTCTTCTTCTGTTCCTTCCCCCTGTGGCTCAGATCCTTCTACATATTTTTCAATAATGACCCCTTCTGATGCAATGTACAATGTATTCTCTATTTCCTCCTTTTCTTGGGGTTCCATGGCGATTTCAACAGACGAAGGAGTGATACCTTCAGAGTCATCACCTGTCCAGGAGATCTCGGTCTCTTCATGACTAGTCATCCGTTCTTCACTCAAGTGCTCTGCCATGGATAGAGTAGACGTTCCTGAACGGAGTTCCCTTGTTCACCCTGTTAACTCTGTTTGACTTATGAGACTATAGGAGGACAGACATCTTCAGACTTGCTTAGAGGAGGAGTGGGCTCAGAGAGTGTAGGAAAGGGAGTGGAGTGTGGAGGAGACTCTTCTTTAGGGTTTGGAGAGAGGTTCACCGCTGAACTTCTCACTGGTGAGGACTCAGTCACAGTGTTATCAGGCATACTAACTGTTTCTTGATTTTCAAACATGATGAGATTATTCTCGTGGGATTGTGGATTTGATGGGAGAGAAAAACAAACAAGGAATTTTGAGTTTGGAAGAGAAAGGGTTGTGATGTTGATTTAATTATGATGAAGGACCCGTTCTGAAACGGCGGCACCCTTTTGCTTAGGAGATATATCGTTTAGAGAAATGAATTACGTTTGGGCTGTGATGTATTGGATGAAAAGACACAACTTTAAAGAGACTGTCACGCTGATGATGATGTGGCATTGTTTTTTGTTCATTTTAAATTGTTATGAAAGAACAAAGAAACCACTAACCTGCGTCAGAGAACTAGGTTCCCTGATAGGTCTGGAAAGTGAGTTTTATACCCTTATTCATCATGCACTGCAACATCTGCTTCTGTAGTCATCATGCATGTCTACCTGTAACGGTATAGAGGTGAGTTAGACTTAGCCAGAAAACATGTTAGCTAGCTTTTACCTGACTATGACTTTCATAACCAATAATTAGGAACCAGGTTCTTAGTTGTGTTTTATCATCCCCCAGTGCAAAGGTGATCTTTCTTAGAATGCTTTCTTCCCAGGGCTTTTAGTGAAGATGTCTGCAACTTGATCTTTAGCAATCACTGTATTTGGCCCTCTAGAGTTGGACTCAAGTTCTTCCAATTTGTTGCTTGGTCCATAGCACTTTGTTTCTTGGTCCATAGTACTTGACCACAACAGGATGCTGATTATACATATTCTACTTCAGCTGTTGAGAGTGCCATTGAATTCTGCTTCCTTGAGCCTTATGAGACAAGCTAGGAACTCAGAGACTGTCCCAATTCAAGCGAGCTTTTCCTACCCATTTACTTGGAGGACAGTATAGAACCAGGTTAAATGTTCTACTAGGATACCTCAAGATACTTACACCATCCTTCAGATGAGAATACCTTGGATTTGATTGAGACCCTGCACAGAACTCAACTCTGACCCCGATGTCTAGTCTACTTGCAGTGAGATACAGGAGCGATTCAGTGATGTCTCTATGCAAAAGCCTCTTTCCAACAGCTTATTTTTCAGCTTCTGTTGTTGTTGACGCGGACCTGGTTCCTAGCTGGAATCAATGGGCGTTCTCTACCTTGATTAGTATTTCTGTTCTCTTTTGAGACGAGTATGTCAGAAGGATTCCTCCATCTCTTCTACAATCAGAGTTTCATGGCTGACCCTTCCCATTGTTGAGAACATGACAGTTATACCCAGATATCCTCACTTGAGTCTGCAGCTTTGGTCAAGATGTTTGCTAACCCTTCATCAATTAATATTGACCGTGCCCAAATTTTCAAGAGTCCTTTTCTTCTCTTCAGCAACTCTCTCTGAGGTGGTGTTCTTTGAGCTAAGTGGTTGAGTAGTTCTTCTTTCAACATAGCATTCATCCACTTATGGCATTGTCCAAACCTGTTCCATGATTTAGTCTGATACAAGCCACGTTTGTTTCTATTGGTACCTGGATCTTCTTGACAAAAACCACAATTTCTTGAAAGATCTCATCCTTGGTTCTGAAGTGTTGTCTGTCCCTTTTTGGCTTGAATAAAGATCTGACATGCTTTTCTTTTGCACTGGCAGTGCACACTTCATGATACTTGTTACTCAAATTGATCAGACCACGAACCAGGTTCTTCAGATCCAGTTTATTTAGAGATAGACGACGTGCATGCTCCAGACTTTTGTCCTATGATTCAATATTATTTTCAACAGCTTCCAACCAACATATGTCTCCACTCTGCAGAGTCTCAATCACAGCAACATACGTACACTTGTGTCTTTAGGCTACAACAACACCTCACCATTCACAGGATTTGAGATTGTGAATATCCTACACAATCATTCCACCTTATATCCTTTGATACAAATTTTCCAACTCCTAGAACGTACCCCCTTTTTAACCATTTTCAAAAAGGGTACACTCTCTCCTTGCAGGGCTTTTTAGTGAAGGAAGATTGATTGTGTTTCCAGTCCTGTCCTTTGAGCAGCCATTGTTCATGTGTCATTATTGGCTGCATTCCTTCACTGCTCCCTGCACAAGGAAATCAAGGGTTAGATCTAGGAACCCAAACAAGTTTGGGTCCCTTGTTAAGAGAAAAAGGATGAATGAGTGCTCTCTTAGTCCAAGCAGGCAAAATGCATTTCCTATTTGATGGTTTCCTATTTGACGGATCAGGTCCTCTTGCAGTAGTTGCTCTCTCAACAAAGACTTTATTTCTCTGATGAGACTGAACCCTGGCTGTGCAATTTTCCTTCAGCTGCCCATTGTTGCCATAGTGGGTACATAGCCAATTGTCGGGTACAGTAACATACTTGCTATGAGGGTTGTAAGGAATCTTTTCCCTTTAAAACCCTATCCCCTGCCTGTTTCCCCTAGAGTTGGTGTACATGGCAGTGATAGCATTCGAGGACCAGGTCCACTTAAGAGATTTCTCAAGATCACTCTTTACTTTCCCTAGTTCTTCCTAAAGCTGTATATTTTTCTCAAGTTCAGCACACAGACTAGTCTTTACCAAGTTTAACTCATTTTCAAGCTTAATGTGTGCTTTATTTGCAACTTCATTTCCCTTTTCAGAGTTTCCAGGCCTATTTGCAGTTTTAAGACAATTGTTTCTTTCAAGTCTACTACCACCACTAGTAGGTCATCTCTTTCTTACTCAATGATAGCAACTCTCTCAGTCAAGATTTCCTTTTCTTTACTTGTACACTCAATAGTTTCCTTTAAGTCTATCACAACCACCATTAAATCATCTCTTTCATGTTGTATACTAGCAATTTTCTCTTATAAGGCATTTTTTCTCTTTTCAGGTTCTCTATTGTTTCTTTCAAATCAACTACAACGACTACTTAGTCATCTCTGGTTTGGTCAGCTTCCGCTAGTTCCATAATTAAAGCAACTTTATCATTGGTAAGACTATGGTAAGCATCAATTAGCATATTTTCTAATGACATGAGCTTTTTAGGAGAGTAAGATTTCAGATTTCTCTGAACATCCAGAAAGTTTACCTCACCGTCGTCGTCATCTTCATCGTCATCAGATTGAGCCATTAGAGCAAAGATTGAATCATACTCAGTTGTTTCACTTTCCACTTCCATCATTGAACTGCCACCATGGTCGTCTTCTTCTTCAGATTCGCCGGAGGAGTCTCCCCATGCATCAAGAGCTTGCTTTACAACGTTGTTAGTATCATTCTTCCTCTTGAAGCGTTTGTCAGGAACCTGGTTCCTCTTTGCTGCTTTGTCAAAGTTGTAATTATACTGATCTTGCTTTAGGAGGGGGAAATCCTTGATGAAGTTTCTTGATTTGCCACATTTATGACAGATGTCATAATTTTTGGGCTTGCTAGAGCTACCCCTTTTTGGAATGCCTCCATTCTTGCGAACCATCTTCTGGAACCTTTTTGTCAAGTAAGCCATGTCCCCGTCTTCACCACTTGAGTCATTGTTGTCCGTCTTGAGGACCAGGTTCTTCTCTCTCTTGGTCTCTCTTCTTTCATTATCCTTCTTCTTCATTTCATATGTTTTCAAGTTTCCAACAAGTTCATCCATGGTCAGTGTCTGCAAGTCTTTAGCTTTTGTAATGGCGTTAACTTTGATTTCCCAAGAACTGGGCAGTACACTAAGGATTTTTCTGACAAGCTTGTTTCTTGGAATACTTTCACCAGAGAGTGAAGCTCATTGATGATGGAGGTGAATCGAGTATGCATATCTTGGATGGATTCATCATCTTTCATTCTGAAGAGCTCATATTCTGTTATGAGCATATCAATCTTGGATTGCTTCACCTGAGTTGTTCCCTCGTGAGCTATCTGAAGAGCATCCCAGATCTCTTTTGCTGATTGACAAGCTGATATCCTGTTATATTCATCAGGGCCAATACCACACACAAGAATTTTTCTTTGCTCAAAAGTTCTTTTCTATGGCCTTTCTATCAGCGTCATTGAATTCTTTCCTCATCTTGGGAATGGCTACAGCTGGATCACCAAGGTTCTTTGTAGGAACAAAAGGTCCGTCACATATTACATCCCACAACTCAGAGTCTTCAGCCGTGATGAAGTCATGCATCCTAGTTTTCCACCACCCATAGTATTGACCATTGAAACTAGTAGGTCTGTATGTGGACTAACCTTCTTCGATGTTTGGAGGAGCAACCACGAGGATCCTTTCTAGGTGTTAACCTGATAGAAAGAACCCGCTCTGATACCAATTGATAAAATATATGGGTCTACCAACTTCTATTAAGAACCAGGTTCTCTATCAGGTTTGACAGTTACACACACACAGAACTAAAGTTAAATAACGGGAGGAATTTTACGTGGAAAATTCCCAGCTCAACAGGATTAAAAACCAAGATCTACCCTTGTAGGATTTCAACTTCACTACTGAGCAACTTTCATATTACAACCTATGCAACCTAGGAATTAAACTCTTAATCCCTCACTAACTTGTAATACACCTATTACAAGCCACTTTGCAATAACTCTATTACAAAGACTTTAAAACTTAACTAACTCTAGCCAAGACTTAAACACGCTGGTTTAAGGTTTACAAAGATGTTCCTATAAAGTGCTTCTAAATAAGCTGGATAGGAATTGCAATTTGAAGAGCTATTACAAAGTTACAACTCAAATAAGGACACACAATAACTCGATGTAGGAACTGGTTCGTAGTTGCTTTGTTCTTTATTTTTGAGGCACTTGAAACTTGCTTACTGGATAGTCACGTTAAATGAGCTTGTCAAAT